TTTTTGGCGAGTTGACTCTTATGTCCAAACACCCAGCTGGCTGTGTGCTTGACCGCCGTATGATGGAGGTGCTCGACCAATTCAAGAAGTGCGTTTGCAAGGGTCCTCCTAGGTCACTCCAGTGCCTGCATCGTGACACCTTTCATTTGTTTACAGACGCGTGTTACGAACCTGGAGGAGTGGCCGGTCTTGGTGGTGTATTGCTCAGCGCATCAGGCGACAGAATCGCCTGCTGGGGTACCTGTTTGACTCCGCCTCAACTTGATGCAACACATGCAGTGCAGCGCAAAATTGGAGGCTTTGGCCATTGCAGCGGCCTTTGTGACTCATTCCGATATTTTCCAGCATGTTGATATTTTGGTTTTCAGTGATAATGAAGCTGTGCGTTCCTCTTTGATCAGCTGCCGATCAACCAACACCTTCTTGAACAAAGTTATTGACTTTGTCACTACGGCCGAGATCTGTTATGATCTGGCGACATGGTCTGAGCGTGTTGCAAGGGCAGCCAATGTCTCTGATGGACCTTCCAGAGGTCAGTTTGAAGGTTTGGAAGGAACCCACAGGTCATCTGTACCCTTGGATGATATTCTCGCAAGGCTGGTGTCTTCAACCATTAGTGCCGGGGGATTGTGCGTTGAAGATGTATCGAAATCTCATGTGAGATGAGGATGTGTCCATGTGGACTAAGATGACTTCCCCCGAGCCTAGCCGTAAAAACAGTGCGAGTGTGTCATCTATAAGGGAATGTCAACAATGACCATATATCTATATAAATGTTTATATATGGTTTTTGTATGTGGTTAAATACTTTGGTTTGGCTCAAGCGGAGCTCTTGAGAGCTAAGAAAAGAAGGTGGCACTCTTCGTAGAAGATAAAACCTTCTTTTCGTGCGTGAGACCCCCCCCCCCTTTCTATGTTTGGGTGGGGTTTTTGGGGTCCGCTTGAGTTCTGTCTTTACGCAGTTTGCCTTACGCGTGATGAAGCCTCGGTTTGTTATACTACATGTGGTTTGCATGATAGTATTTGCTTGTGCATGTGCACAACGTATTTCATGAAACCGAACGTAAATTTGGCTCAGTGGTGGGCGGGAGGGTTCCCCCATGTTTTGGCCGGAAATTTTCGCTCCCACCTCCCAACTTCCTGTTGGGGATTTTCTGCGTTGCAGAAATTTTTAACACTCATGTGGAATGAGCAAATGTCCAGGTGAAGATGTATCGAAATCTCATGTGAGATGAGGATGTGTCCATGTGGACTAAGATGACTTCCCCCCCGAGCCTAGCTGTAAAAACAGTGCGAGTGTGTCACCTATAAGGGAATGTCAACAATGACCATATATCTATATAAATGTTTATATATAGTTTTTGTATGTGGTTAAATACTTTGGTTTGGCTCAAGCGGAGCTCTTGAGAGCTAAGAAAAGAAAGTGTTTTCCATGGTTTAGATGCCATTGCCGCACGGGCAGTGTGTGGCATTCCTCAAACGACTGCGTTGTTATGGGTGCAGCATGACGCCTCAGCGCCGCGTGAGCCACATTTCCAGTGGACCTGTTGTGGTAGGGCGCCCAATCTCCAAATTAATAATCGTGCAGAACTTTTCGCCATCGCTTTGGTCATTGCTAACACTACCCAGGCTGAAATTGTCACTGACAGCCAATATGCACTTGACATGGCGCATCAAATTTTGCATGAGCCGGCCATCCATTCCTACATGACTGCAGATAATTTTGATATACTTCAGGCTTTGTGTATCGTGTGTGTTGATAGGGAGCCGAATAACTTTGTCTTTCATAAGGTCGAAAGCCATGTTGAGCTCACGCCTGATGCCGGACGTCGGGAACGTCTTCATGTCCTGGGGAATGATCACGCTGACCGGGCTGCAAAACACTGCAGTGACCCTGTTTCCCAGATATAAGGTAGCCGCAGAGAGATCTGTGGTAACTACAGCCAAACTGCATGGCTGCACTCCATCTGGCTTTTGTCAAAGCCGTGGAGAAGCTTCCCCCACAGCAATTGCCGCAGCAGAGTGCTCCTTTGTGCTCTGATCCTTTTGCAGTACTCAAGCCGGTGTACAATTCCAAACAATCCTTGCCGCTCCCAATTGACTTGCAGGAACTTTCGCACATCTTGTTCTGGGGTTCTACTTTCACAGCTAGCAGTGGCCCTCACCTCGGGGGAATACTTGTGGAGATGTTAGTTTCTATGAACTTTACACCAATTTCTGCATTTGCGCCCAAAGTGTCCTACCAGTCAATGAAGGAACAAAGTACCAACCTCGATACGTTTTGCCGGACCAAAAACCGGAAATTGCACTTGTACCGCAGCCCGCGGCCCTTGTCCTCCGGAACTGCAACCGCCCTAGTGTACCTAGCAAAACTTTTGCAGCAACCGGTGCTTCAAGGAAATGTCCCTGTGGAAGAAGATCAAGGTGCCGTGGATGTGGCCCTGAACCCATCCTATGTCAAACTCCGAGATTGGCTCTTGCTGATGCTCAATCACGAATGTTCTGGGGAGTGACCTACACGTTGCGCCTGCATGCCTGGGTTTCGACCCTTCGGTGGCCCGATCAATCGTGTGACTGTGTGGGTGATATTAGCTGGTATGAGCTTTTTGTGAATTTCCGCATCGTGACACAGAGCTTTGTCCCCATCAACACAGGCACGGACAAAGCTCACCCTCGGTGGGAGTTGCCTGAGCATAGGCCCAGTTTGGCCATAACGCCCCAACCGGCCTGTCTGGTATTAAGAAATTTCACCTGCAGTCTTGCGTACTTGCAACTGCTACTGTTTCCAGCTGAGCCCAAAATCCAAGTTGAGACGCTTCCAAGTGCCCTCCAAGGCCAGGCTGCCTTTGGCCCCCCACTTGCTGGCCACCCATTTGCTGGCCCCGCACCTGTTGGCCCCCCGCCTTTTGGCCTTGCTATGGGGCCATTTGCTTTCGCGAAAGTGTCGCAGGCGCAGGCACGGCGCTTGCGAAGCAGAGCAGAGGAAAGGGCCTGGGCTCTGCAACAAAGGCTCACAGACCAGCAGGTTGCCCATGGCTTGCAGCTCCAGGCGCTCGAGGAGAAGCACCAGGCGGCCATGGAGGCGCAGGAGCAACGGTGGAGGAAAACGTGAACGGAGTGCACAGAGCTGGCAAGAAGCCTGCAGCGCGTTTCCAGCACTGCAACAATCAGCACGCAGGCCAACCTCCGGGCCCAGCAAGAAGGCGAACTGGCAGCAGCTCTGGCAGGCGATCCAGCCCCGGTGAACCCAGCCCCGGTGAACCCCTTCAGGGCCGGCTCCAAGGCTGCTTCCAAAGCCCGGCCGCGGCCAAGCAGCAGCAGCAGCTGCAGCTGCACCCAGCCGCCCAAGAAGAAGAGGACCAAGACAAAGGAGCCGGCCCAGGACTGTGTTGAAGTTGTTTTTTCTGTAACCTCTTGTCCCCGACTGTGCTGCAGGACAAGGCCAACCTTGCAAAGAAGCAGAAGAAGAAAAATCAGAAATGAGGCCTGACTCTCAGCTTCATGCATGCTCTTGTCATCATTGCAACAAGCCCTGGCCCGCAGGCTGAGCAGTAGCCCCGGTGGCTGACTCTGAGCAGTAGCCTGGGGGCTGTCCAGGACTTGGGTTTGGGTGAAGGCCAGCACATGATCTCAAGACAAGTCGACTTTCACCCGTAGAGTAGCAGCAGCAGTTCCTAAACAAAAAGGTTCCTTGCACCAAAAGCAGCAACCATTCACCAACCCTCTGAATGGGCAGCCAATGGCAGCCACATTGTGTCACAGCTGTGCAACCCATGCCTGTCCCAATGCAGGTCTGGACTTGCTCCATTTTCCCTGGTTGTTGAAAGACACGCCCGAAGCCATGAAAAAAAGCCAATTCACGGGAAGACCTTCAAACACAACCCGGGAATTTGGGGCTATTTGGAATCAAGCAGCAGGCGGCAGGCAGAGCTTACATGCAAGCTATAATGCGCCAGCGCACGGACCGAACACAAACACATAGGTTTGGGGCCAAGTAGCTTCTGCCTGGCGTATGGCTGCTGGAGATTGAAATCCTTTTCGCACGTGGCCAAGAGTTGCCGAGAAAAAAGTCCGCTCCAGGTGTGAATCTCAAACTGACACTGGTCGAAAGTTGCTTGCAGCTGCTTTGACTTTGCGGGGTGGGAGTTGAAAGGTCAAGCCAAGGAATTCGGGCTCGTGCTACACGTTCTTTGGCAGCTGATCCTGGATGGCATGCCGGGCGCTGTGCTGAGCAAGTGCAGCAAGCCAGGGTTTGGTGCTGAACAAGCGTAGGATGTAGCGTGCTGAGTTGACGCTAAACAAGCGTAGGATGTAGCCAACATGGCATGGTGCTGGACAAGCACACAGTGCTGAACAAGCGCTCAGAAGAGTGAATGTTGTGCTGAAGGCTGTGCTCCACAAGCGCAGTTCAGTGCTGGACAAGCACTCGGTGCTGAACAAGCACTTCTGTGCGCTGGTGCTGAACAGGCACTTCTGAGTGTTGAACGCTGTGCTGAACAAGCGCAGTTCAGTGCTGGACAAGCACACGGTGCTGAACAAGCACTTCTGAGTCTGAGTGTTGAATGCTGTGCTGAACAAGCGCAGTTCAGTGCTGGACAAGCACGTGGGGTCTAAATGAGGCTGAGCAGCCAGCGGCCTCCTTCGTTGCAGCCGGCCGGCCGCTGTCGTCGCCTTTGAGCAGGGGGAGGTCGCCTTCCGGTGAGTTAGCGACCATGCCTCAAAGGTGCAAAGGCGACCTGCCTTTCACAACACGCCCCCAACACTGAAGTCGAGTCATACAAGCGCGCCTGTCACTGAGCTTGTTCAGCCCAGAGTTGCTGCTGTGCTTGTTCAGCACTGCTGCAGGAAGTGCACTTGCTCAGCGCTTGGCCACTGCTTGTTCAGCAATGGGATTGAATTCCTTGCGCCTTGCCGTGAAAAGCATGAAGGAAATGGACATGAAGGCTATGAAGGCCATGAAGACCATGAAAGCGACAAAGGCCACAAAGACCATGAAAGTCATGAAGGCCAAGAGCGCAAAAGCCAAATCAAAAAGACTAGGCAAGGCTGAGTCGCTTACAGGAGATGCTTGGCGTCACGTCCGGGTGACTGAAGCGCTCAAGTTGAAGCTAGTCCACCTCCAGGACAAGTGGCTGACAGTCCCTGCGCTCAAAGCGCATGGGGAAATCCGCAAGCCTATCACGCCAAGCGCTGAGCGCTTCTTGAGGAAGCTCGAAGCAAATGGTGGTGAACGAGTGCCTCGGAGTCGCAAGTGGGGAAGTCGGGGCGTGCGCACCTATCAAGATGAGTGGGTCTGGCCAAAGAAGAACGAGGACTACTTGTTCCCAGCCCTCCGTGAAGACGCAGAGCTTCAGCGGCGGAACAAAGCCACTTGCCTGACACTTAGTACAGCGTTATGTTTTCCAGGACTGCTGCTGACACTTTGATTGCCTGCGACCAGTTGCCCACAGGATGTGGTTTCGGCTGCCATCCGGCGCATCCGCAAGTCCTACACGCCCCCGGCAACATCTCCAACATTCGGTCTCATTCTGGCCGGCAGCGAAGCATAAATGATTTGAAGCTGACCAATGTCAAGAGCTTGGCAAGAGCTTTGCTCGTATCACCACTGACTCCGTCTGGGAGTCATATGGCAGGCTTACTGAAAACCAGGTTGCTGAGTCCCTGCTCGGAAACGCGAGCTTGCAGCAACTGTGGCAGACCATGTACTGATATTTCCTTGTCTCACATTCTGATACCTTGTGAATCTGGAACTGAGGCGAGTTGACATTGAACTAACAGCCCGCCAAAAGGCACAACCCGCTGGAAGCTGAAAGTCGGCCCAAAAAAGGCATTTAATTCCGAGCTGCCGTGCTGCCTGACCAGAGGCCCAGCCGCTGCAGCCCAGCTGCCGCAGCCCCGCAGCCGGCGGCCGCTTCCCCCTGCGAGTGCCAGGAGACCGGGAGACATGTTGCAAGTCGTGCCGAGCAGTTTGTTGCAAGAGCAGCAAGCGCAGGGACGCCTTTTTGCCTTTGGCTGCGGCGCACTGTAGTGACCCTGTGCGCCCCAATGCCCCCCGGGTGTCAACACAATGCTGTATTGAAATGGGCAAGGCCATTCTGAACGTTTACAATGTGGTTGCATTTTTCTCCTTGTTCACAAATCATTGGATAGGGGCCCTTCTTGCTGCCAGCCTCGCTGGCAGGGCCAAACCAATTTCAAGACAGATTGCAACTGGTTCCCAAATAATTCAACTCAGCTGTTGCCTCTTGCGGCTGGCCTTTCAGCCTGTCTTGGAAACCAAATGAACCTCACTCATGCAGGCTTTCTTTCCTGACCTCAGTATTTGACCCGGAAGACAAACTGGCCGGCGGCTACAACTCGGCCAGCCAGGATCTCAGCACGCAAAGGGCTGGCCATCCAAGCTTTCAAAGCCATTTGGCGTCGCTCTTGGCTGGGTTCAAGGCCGCATGTTGTAATCCACTCCTTCACAAACTTGTGCTGAGCATCCTTCATGGACCTCACTGCCACCTGCAAAGCCGGCGGCGCTGGCGGCGCTGGCGGCGCTGTGGAGGTCGGTGTGCGCAAAACGCCTTTCTTCACGTGCTTCTTGTGCCAAATCCGAGAGTTTGCCCGGCTCTGCTCCTTGCGGCGCTCCACCTCCTTCTTCTTGCTCTCCGGCGTCAGCTTGTTGAGCTGCCGCCCTGCCCCATGGGCCTGCTCTGAGGCCTTTTTCTGCTTGGTGGCTGATGCCTTGCTGAGGCCTTCTCCTGCTGCTCCGTGGTGGATTCTCCTGCTCCTGCTCCTTCTCCTGTTCTCCTGGTCCTGGCTTGTGGCGGATGAAGCCTTCTCCTTCTCCTGCTCTGTGGTGGATGAGGCCTTCTCCTGCTCCGGCTGCATTGCAGCGGCTGAGGCCTTGTCCTCCTGCGTGTCAGCTGCCATGTTCTTGAGCCGGCGGATCTTCTGAGGCCGCTCAGCAGGACGCTGCCTGTCATCATCTTTGTTGCCTTTGTCGACTCCTGTCAGGCCAGGCCTTTTCCTTTGCGTTGTTTGCCAATCCAAGCTGCCAACCAATTCCAAAACAATGCAATCAATGCGTCTGATTCCAAAATACGCGCAAGCCGCAAGCCTGCGCAAGCTAAATTCTGGGCAGACTGATTGTCAAGCAATTCTGCCAGCAGTGAATTATACAGCTAAAAAGGGCCGCTGAACATCTCCCCAAGACAACACGCAGTGCCATTAATTGTCAAAAGTTCTGACGGGCTCAAATATAAACCTGCGCACAAATGGCCACTTTCGACACCAAGAATGACTAGTCATCCCCAACCCTCCTGCGGCAAAGAAGTGGCCAACGTCAAGCGGGCCGGGCTGCGTGGCAGGGATCATGCCATGGGGTCCACGCCCGTCGGCCGATTGGAACTCATTGTGTGGCAAACATGACCCAAGCCTTGTTGGCAAGGCGTGTGTGGACTGCGCACGGGGGACCGACTTAATTTGTCAAGACACTTTGTCAGAGGAGCTGTCAATGAAAACTGACGCGCGCTTCTGTCTGCACCAAGAGGGGTCGCTGTGATAGCTGGTCATCACAAATGTGCTGCTTGATGAGGCAAACCGTATCATTAGCCAGGTGGGCCAATATAAGAGCCACGGTCCACTATTCGTTCAAGGGGCGCCGGCAAATCTGGCCAGGGCAAAGTGCAACAGGCTGCAAAGTTGAACCGGTCAGAATAATAAGCACTGAAAAATATTTTCAAAAATACTGGGCCTTGTCTCAGCACGTTCAGGAACAAGCGGTTGCCGCGAGCATCCTCCAGCAACCCGCCTTCCAGGCGTACACCTGCAGGATAGTGCGCCCTCCAGTCACGTGTGGCATTCAGCTTGCGGACTGAAACCTTGGTGTGTGGTCCCACCCAATCTCGAACTGCGGCTTTTGTGAGCTCGTCCTCAATGACAGCAGTGACATCGGCAGCGTCCAGAAGCCTGTCTGTGTTTCCCACTCTTCGAGCAAGAAGCCCCCAAAGTTGGTCTCAGAGCGACCAAGTTCAGAATTTATAAGGCGTGTAGACAGGCCAGCCGCTGATCACTTTGCTGCCAAGATGCCTATTTTACAGTGCGTGTGCGATTTGCGTAGGAATAGTAGGCCAGTTTGCCGGGCGTGAAATTTTGAAACCAGCGTCTGAAGGTACGAGAGGCAACACATATTCTTGGCCTCCCGCACGGTATTATCTGCCTGACGCGCACAGCATCCAGTCGTGCTACTGTTCAGAATTGGCAAATTGTCACACACACACACCGGCACCTGAATCAGTACGGATTTTGGCATCGACTTGCCTTTCTCTGTGCACCACCCTGTTGGTTTCAAGAGGGACCAGCAGTGTGTTTAGCCCGATCACAAGCGCCTGACTGCTGAGATTGGGATGTACCCAATGATCCGTGGTAAATGGTGTGTAAATTCAAACACGCCCAGTGTGAGAAATTGGGCGACATGCTCAGAGCCACAGGGGTTGAAAAATGCGGGGCGCCTGCGCACCGCTGCCGAGCAACAGGTTCGACGAGAAACCTTTCCTGCGTTTAAACGTGTGCTGTCACCGTGTGGGATGGAGATAAGTGTTCGGGCAAAGGTCCCGGCAACCGAGGTTCCGAACACTTTTTGGAGGGCGAGAAACTGCGGGCCTAATCCCCTCAAAGAAGGGTATCAACGTACATGGTTTTCGCCCGGGCCTGTCAATTGGCTCTAGCGTCCGAACGACTGCGTCAGGGACAAAACTTGAAGATCAATGCAGTAGACGCCCCCTCAGGAACGCATCCATCTTTTATGGACGTTCTTTTTCTTGGCACACAATTCTGGCAAGTCTCCATCTTGCATAGGCACCCATACTTCTGGTGGCTGTTTGGGAATGTCGGGCAACGCCCCCAACATACGCCTGTTGACACTGGGCGTATGATGCCTGAGTAATGCCGCTGTTTGGCGGGCTGCCTTCATCACGGGGCCTACGGTCCAAGCCAGACGTCCCGCACGGAGGGCCTATATGAAAGGCCCGGACCAAACCCTTCTTCGCACAATGCTTCAGGTACTCCCAAGATTCATGTCGAACTAAATCCAACTGCACCACACGAGCATAGGGCGTGTGTCTGTTGCCAGAATGATCCAGAGGTACGGCCTGCATGCCCAGTTGCATCACAGAAGAACTCAAAATTGCACTGCCGGCACAGCCTTCCAAGAAAAATCCAGAACTTGCATTTGCACTCTCCTTCGATGCAATTGGCAGTGAAAGACTTGCATGTCCCTTGGCATCTTCGCCAGGGGTGACATGGGCCTTGCCGCCTTCGCGGTGCCTCACGACGACAGCTGTCCCTTCGAGACAGCTGTCATCCCTCCCAGCTTCTGGGAGACCATCCTCCCCTCGGGGATAGCCACCATTCGGACCTTTGTCGGCTTTCCGACACGAGTCCAAAAACCTCTCGTCTCGTCGACTGCCACCTTCGCGGCGCGACGACTCTTCGTCATCGCCTTCGTGCCCAACGTCGGTTGCAGGGCCCATCGACCCTGCATCCACTTGTCAGTTTTGCTTCTTGGCTTTTGGACACTCAACAGCTGGATGCTGCTTAAAGCAATCACGCACTGCACAAGCATGTAAACCACGCTCACATTGCTGTCGCGAAACTGGGTTGTCACAACGTCCAAGGTTGTAGCCGAAACACAACCGAGTGCCTCGAGTGGTGCAAGAGACGCAACCCAGCTCGAGAAGCTGCGAAGGCAAAACAGTTCCCTTGCCCTTTGACTTGCCACCTTTGCCCTTTGCCGGGGCAGAGGGAAACTTCTGCTTCTTCGAAGGCGATCCACCTGCTGCATCCCGAGACCCCGAACTTCTCGGGCCCTCGGACTTTCCTTGCATGGGTTGCAGCATGTGCTGTACTTCAGAAGATCGCATAACTTCTTCAAAGACCAAATCAAGCGGTCTCCCACTCGCCTTGGCTTTGAGCCCTCCGTTGCACTTTTCTGAAAGGCATGCGAACAGTTTGCGATCCGCGTCCCTCAATTGCGAAATGCTCACACGCATGTAACCAGCTGGCGGTGTGTGCAATCTGGCAGCCATGAGAGCTTCACTCCACTGCTCATGCAATGAAAAATTCAAAAGGTTGGCCTGCTCCATTGCCAAAAGCACGACGAGTGAGACAGTAACGAATCAACAGTTCTGTCGATGTGTCCGCCTCTTCCGTCGTCTCGTTCTTCTGGATTTTGAGCATGCCATTCTCAACCTTGAGAGCCGTCTCTTTCTTTCCATGCAACAATTCACTCTCTCGAGACGTGTATTTATTCCATTCCAGGTAGCGAAGCCTGTCCGCATCGTAAACTCCAACAAAGAAGTCCACCAGAGAGTCAGAAGGCTCGGTCGGCCCTCTTATTGAAACTCCCGCCAGCCTCTTGCGCTGGGGTTCCAGCCTCTCTGCCCTTTCTGCAACGGCCAACTTCCTAGAGCTCAAATCTTCTCCAGATTCAAGCTGCTGCTTAAGTTCAGTCGCCACGATCCCATAGCCTTCGCTGTGGAGGCGCCTCAAGCAAGCCATCTGA